GCCGAGACCACTATTTATGTGGCGCGCACTCTATTATAGTGGTCTCGATCTCCACCACCTAACCCGATTTCGGGCCAACAACTCAAGAAATACACGTTATTTTAAAATGAATTTTCGTACACTCATTTGTCATGATGTTTGGAATCAAAAGATTTCATTTAATAAAAAAACGTCAATTAATCAAGCTATTATGACCGTAACAATACAGGATTTTATTTGCAACAAATACAAACCTAATGGAAGTCAACATGGATTTGTAACGTTTAAAACACTAGATTGTTACGATCATATTATATTTATAGCTCCACGGTTTCTCACGCCATTCAAACTACTCATGCTACACATCGTGAAAACTAATTGCACGACATTTCAATTTAATCCATTTTGTATTTCTTGAGTAGTTCATCGGAAACAAGGTTGTTCTTTTTCTTCAATTGTGCAGCATCCGTGTTGATGCGTTGCCGAGACCACTATTTATGTGGCGCGCACTCTATTATAGAGGTCTCGATCTCCATCATGCACCAAACTCGATTTGGGGCCAACAACTCAAGAAATTGACCCGCAAACCCTCTGGATCTGCGCCTTGGCGACTCGTGTACAGTGCTAATAGAAATTCGATAGAATATGCCGGCGCAACGTCAGATCACATTATACGTCGTGTCAAAAAAGTCTTTCTGTTTATCATAGCTGTATGGTATGTGAAGAAAGTTTTTTTTCAAATTTGATCCGTAAATTAAAAGCTATATGTGATAAACGAATTCGAGCTTTGATAAAGGGCCGTCAATGTCGTCACGCTTATTTGTAGCCGCGGTTACTGCCTTACCTACGATTATTTTAGACGTGAGCGTTGGGAATAATTGTCAGGTCTGGGGACTAGTATAAATTCACGACGTCACGTCGCAAAAAAATATTCACGAGCAGTTATGTCCCGTCGGGGCCACCGTACGCACATGTGCCGCTTGAGCTCGAAGCTAAGGCAGCGCGCGTACGTCCTGTAGATGTACGTACGTGTACGTGTCCGGTATATACGTACGTACGTACATACGTACATGAACCTACATTCGATCAACGACGTCCACCATGACCATGTGTCGACGGTCCTAGTTATGCGTCACACGGCACAAAATATCGAGAATCTAGTGAGCTGGACGCGTCGATTTTAAGTCTTCCACTAAAATCAAGGTATGTGTACAATCAGTATGAATTAGAAACTTGTGATGTAATTGTAATCATGGTGATTTCGCTCACATCATGCTCACATTCACAACCTCAAAGTTGAACAACATGACACACAACGCCAACGACCCTAGTCACTCATCATATACGTAGTACTTTAGTAGCCTAGTACTATCGATATCGTAACGGTTAGCCTAGTCTATTTTTACTTTGGACTTTGTAAATAGGCCGATTGATAATTCATCGTGACTTCTGTTCAGTGATTGGTCAGCTGGGTGGGTGTAGTAAAGGTGTGTGGTGGGTTGAGGGCTTGAGGCCAATGATCGGGGTCTGATGATAATCTTCACATTGTCAGGTTGGACGACGTACATGTCATGCATGTAGGTTACTAAAAAAAGTATTAACTAGGCCTAGCTTGAGCTGACATGCTCATATTTATTTACATGTGAATGAATATGAGCATGTCAGCTGGAGTTACTCAAGCTAAACTAGGCCTACTATTACTAGTATTAGCATGATTAGGGGCCTAGTTTTACTACTACTACTACTACATATATGTACTACTAGTTGTCAGACTCCCTATTTATTAACCCGGCATATTATCGCGGCTTGGGAAATTTGTCTTTTTGAATTGCGTTGCCAAAACTCCTTCAAAGTTCAAGTTCAAGTGGCGATTTTTATCCAGTTCACCAGTCATTAAGGACTTCTTGCCGAGTTGTATAAAATTTAAAGGACGATTATAAAATGTTGTGTCTTTCGGGACTTTAAACGATTTTTAATAAATATTGACGTTTTCCAAAACTTGCAAATCTTCCCTCACCGTGTCTGCCAAAAAGGTACCGTCTATATTTTAACATTTAGGGGTAATGGTGCTCTGTCCAAGAAAGTTCCATTGACTGGGTCCCATTCTCTGCAAACACAAAATGAAGTCAAAGGACGTAAAAACTTTTACGGGATCAAACTAGGACAGCTCAAGAAACAAAACAAAACGGCACACCATGTAAAGTGAACGGCGCCCCCAATCGCCAATCAGTAGACTTGTCTCAGTGATTTTTGTTCTCTCTTCGGGGGAGGGGCAGGGTCTTAAGAAATCATCCTGCAGGCATAAATAGTCTTTAATCAATTTGAACGTTACAGGTAAAATATCGGACTTTATTCAGTAATTTCAGGGGATGTTTTGGTCAATCATTAACTATGAAAAAAAAGAGTTGAGATCATTATAAAAAACACTTCCTTCATTCCACGATAATAGGGAGTCCACCTCCGTTCGCACACTCCGAGCATGTCTATTTTCACAGGCGTCGTACACAGAATAAACCACACCACCGTCGGATTTGTTTATATCAATTTGAAAAGGAAGAGTTATACAACACAAGAGACAGGAAAATTTGGGAAGGTTAGTGGGCAATCTCTATTCCGAACGAGAAACGTGATAAGTACTGCGATAATACCGTACGGCGTCCCATCCTACTAACAGTTTCTTTAGCAAAGTTTATCAAGTAGGTAAAGGCCTTACAAACAGCGTATCCTCACACCACTTTTCACTTCGGTCTTTGTAAACATGGTCATGTCAGGGGGGTGATGGTGAATTAAAAAGATGGTGATTTAGAAGATTTAGAAGGGGTCAGCACTCTATGGATTTTGGACATGCACCGTGATAGACAAAATTCATTTGTCTGGAATTCCAGTTTCTGAAACACAAATCCACCAAAAATTCCATAAGGCCAAAAAAAAGGTTCCGGTGCCTTCTAATTCTAGAAGTTAATTCTAGAACTTCTAATTCTAGAAGTTAATTTATCAGTGACATGGAATCGACATATTTGACCCATGTCCACTTGAGCTACAATACTTGGAAATATGAATTAGGCCAAACAAAAAAATAATAGTTCTGCTTCCGATTACATGGCATTCAAAAATAGGGTAGGTAGGTAAGGCCAAAAAAAAAGTCTCCGGTTTCTGGTATGCGCGCGCATTGCCGTAGCCATGCGCGTCGGCAAAATGAAAAAGTTTTTTTTTCAATGAAAGATGATGTCTCAAAACCGCCAAACTCACTGGTTTGACTGGAATCCTGCTGCTGCACAATTTTAACGTGTTTTTAGATTGGGTTATGGTCGAGAATAAGCTTTATGTGGCCTCTCTGAACTCCCATATATTTGCACTAAGTTTAGTCGGGCACCATTTGCAGTCATCAGCCGACATTTGAAGCAAAAAAATCAGGTAAAAAAAAAAAAAGCCGCGTCGCCGCACCACTTTTTGGGCAAGCTCCATACCAGAAACCGGAGACTTTTTTTTTTGGCCTAAGGAGTTTTTTTTGGGGGGGGGGCCAATTTTTGTTTGTGTACGATCATATGGAGGCGTCTGCGTGTAGTCAAGGGTAAAAGGTAGGCCCTATACAGTGATGGTTTTGGTGTTTTTTCCGCATTTTTCCAATAAAATTTTTAGGGTATGGACGGTCAGAATAGGGTAGGTAGGGAAACCGGAAGCAGAAGTATTATTTTTTTTGGTCTTATTCATGTTGTAATGGACTCAGCTCAGATTCAGACAAGGTACCGGTACCGTACATGTACGTAGACGTCGACTCGACAATAGTATAATATCTCTCAGTGACTCATGTACACGTAGCTGATGAAATTGAAATGAAAAGGAATAGGTAGGGAAATGATGCATCGCATTTCAATTAGGCCAACTCGCTGACCGGACAAGACGGGGCCTGCACTGTGTATCAGCCTACTTCTACACATACTAGCCAGAAAACACCCGTGTTCCTTCTAATTCTAGAAGTAGTATCGGCCTACGTATACTATATGTATGTTTGTGAAGTTAATCTAATGAACTGAATTGTTGCAATACATTATTAATCCTAGCCCCATAAATGTGGCCTATTTACTGGACTGCCTCCGTAAACATAGGCCACACATCCACATGTACAAAAATTGTGTCAACTTTGCCAAATTTTGATTTCCACATTTAGGCTTAGTTTGTAGGGGTTTTTTTGCTTTAGAAGCATACTCACCCTCTTTATAGGCTAATCAGAAAGTGCTGCCTTTTTCAGATGTATATTTTTCGTGAAATTTCCAGATTCATTTTTACATGTTTGCGTATCAAAATTTCAACATGAAATTTCACAAAAATTAGACATCTGAAAAAGGCAGCACTTTCTGACTAGCCTATAAAGAGGGTGAGTATGCTTCTAAAGCAAAAAAATCCTACAAACTAAGCCTAAATGTGAAAATCTAAATTTGGCAAAGTCGACACGATTTTTGTACATGTGGATGTGTGGCCTATGTTTACGGAGGCAGTCCAGTAAATAGGCCACATTTATGGGGCTATATTAACCCTAACAATCCCCATCCGGTCAAACTCCAACAGCAGGCTTTGTTGAAATCTGTAAGAGCAGGGAGGAATGTTCTTATTCCTCCATGGTTAGAGTGAGTACAAAGGGGTTACATAATGTACAATGTATGTACCACCACTAATCAGAGTCCAACATTTTATGTACAGTTTACTTTAAGTTTGAGGAAAGTTCGTAGTAAATCACTCAGGGGATTAGGGGCGGGGGCGGGGGGGGGGGGGGGGGGGGGGGGGCAAAGGTTAATAGGAGGAGACCTCTACATTTATAAATTTATCTCACTTGTTATTGGCAGTAAAACTGAGTTGTCCAAATTTACTGGCAATCGAGGATATAACGTTGAGGACAGTCACGCGTTTGGACAGTAAACAGAATTTGGTTCCTGTTGTAATAGATGTATTAAAGTTTTACCATATAATGTATCTTTAACCGTAGGCCAAAAATTCACAATCCATCTGTGCTAATATGTTTACAGTTGTGTGCCGCATCATCACCCATCATGTTGCGTGCCAACCGACTTAAGCTGGGCAGTCGATTGCTGCGAACCTCGGCTTCATCGAAGCAATGGCGGCACCTGAGCAGTAAAACGGACAAGCCCGTCATGGCTATACGCAGGGAGGACTACGGGTCACAGTGGGAACGCAGGGCGCCCCTCAACCCCTTGCAAGTCAAGTCGTTCGTGGATGCTGGGGTGAAGGTTATGGTAGCGCCGTCCAACAGGAGAGCCTACACAATGGAGGTAAGATTGGAGCTGGTAAAATGGACCAAAATTCTTTCATTCTGTTTCCAAACCCGTGCCAGACATGTGCCCATCACTCAGTGTTGTAGTCGAGACCCTGCAAGACCATCACAAGACCATCACAAGACCATCACAAGACCATCACAAAACCATCACAAGACCATCACAAGACCATCACAAGACCTCCAGTCTCAAGTCAAGTCACAAGCTATTCAAATGAACTGCAACAAAGGCATTCCTTCGGCATTCAACGGCAATCGTTCATGCCCTGTTACTTGTGGCTGGTCTTGTGGCTGGTCTTGTGGCTGGTCTTGTGCTGGTCTTGTGACTGGTCTTGTGTCTGGTCTTGTGATGGTCTCCACTACAACACTGCCGTCACTGCCAAGAGTCCATAAGGCCAAAAACAAAAAGTTCTGCTTCCGGTTTCCCTACCTACCCTATTCTGACAGCCCCTACCCTAACTTTTGTTTATGGAAAAAATTAAACAAAAAATCCAAAACCATCAATTACTACCTTTTTATCTTGACTACACGCAGGCACCTCCATATGATCTTACACACACAAAATTGCCAAAAAAATTAAACTTCCCTATCTACCTACCTACCTAAGTTTGAGCGTATTGCTCCAGAGAAAGCTGTGGAAAATTGGGACTTACACTTTTTTAATCAAAGAGCCATCATATTCTTTAACTTTTACATGGGATAATCGATATTGGATATCCGATACATCGATTATTGAAAATTCTGATATCAAGGTGCTTTGAAATTTTTTCATTGGGCAGATGACCAGGGTTATAATTATAATGCCTCTAACACCAGTTTGGTGGATATATGCACTAAATACATACATTAACATCAATATTTTATTACTTTTCTCTGCAGGACTACTCCAAGGCCGGTGCCGTCATTCAAGAGGATCTGAGCGAGGCTTCTCTCATCCTGGGAGTCAAGCAGGTCCCTATCAATCGTCTCCTGGCTGACAAGACTTACTGTTTCTTCTCCCATACAATCAAGGCACAGAGTGAGAACATGCCACTCTTAGATGCCATCCTGGAAAAGGTACACGTGACATTTAATAAGGCGGTTTAGAAATCTGATGTTAGTGGATGGAGATTGCTGGCTGTGTGGCAATAATTTAGCGGTTGGAGAAATCGGAGATCTCAAAATACGGTTATCCTAATTTTTTCAAACCGAATAATGGTAAATCTGATTTCATCTGGTGTTCTCATTCAGCTCACACAAAATGACCAGTGAGGTGCCACATGAAATGCCCTCCCAATGACTGGGTGTAGGTTGCAGGATTTAATGACCACTGAGACTTTACAAAAAACACTCCAGAGTTGTAATTTTGAAGAAAAAAAATGGGCAGGCTATTCAAATACCAAGAAGACCACTAGCAAATGATTGCACAATCAGGGACCGTGGACCAAATTCAGATGATGTACCATTTGTTTTCTTGAGCCTGTGTCACAAAAATGGAAGGCTTATTTTTTTTTTAAAGGTTGGTCATGTTGGTTCCGAAGATATCCGGTTTCCAAAATCAAAACCAAATAGTGGAATTCAAACCAAATGTTAAAAAATGCGGAGTTAAATCCCACCACTAGGATAATTCAGTAAAAATATTGTTAGGTTGAGCCTCGGACATCCTAATTTCGTGGCCTAGCTAGTATGGTCATGCGTTAAGTTTGTAAAAACAGACTTAATGTTACACAGGCCGTGTCGGAATCTCTTGTCCAGAGCTATTGTTGCGGTCTTCGCCCATTACAACACTATGGGAACAAGTTGACAATAAACGCAGTCATAGCTCTGAAATCCTGTTTTGGACATCTATATAATTCATGTCAGTCAAATAGTATCATGTAAATGTTTCAATCAGTAGGATCAACGCGAAGAACAGATTCCTGTGTTTACCTGGACTTGCAACAGGGGTATTCCATCCGTATTGGCATACTGTAAAATCATACTGTAAAGACTCATGACATCCTCGGCTTCATTCGCAGCCTCACATAAGCACATACCATGCATCTCCCAGGTTTAAAAAAATGTCGCGTCCCACATCACTGCAATTAAAATAAAAGCTGATTAGACACTCTGAATTGTCAGGTTTTTGCCTTCCTTTATGCAGAATATTCGTCTGATCGATTACGAGAAACTTGTTGACGAGAATGGTAAACGGGTGGTGGCCTTTGGAAAGTTTGCCGGCATCGCTGGAATGCTGAACATTCTGCATGGCATCGGACTCCGACTGCTGGCGTTGGGACACCATACGCCATTTATTGTAAGTTCAATCGATTCTGACCTGCACCCGATTTCATCAAACTCTTCGTAACTTACGATGCATCGCAGCGATGCGACGCGTCGTATCTCTACGATGCGTCGCAGCTGCGACGCGTCCTGCGATCAATTTCACGAAACACGTCGTAAGTGCGACGCGTCGTAGGTGTATTTATAGCACAACTCGATGACTGTTTTATGTATTTAGTCAGCGTACAGTAAATAGTCGTCTGATATTCAACAAACAGTCGTCGGATCTCAGGTCGAAATTTGTTAAAACGTAAAACAAAATGGCGGCCGTGCGATGCAATTTTGAAGAAAAACAAGCTCTCATTGGACTGTATAGCTACTTTGAAATTTCAACTCTAATATTCCGGTCTAATTCATAATTATTCAATGAATTTCCTATTTACAACTTTACACACATTGCTTTGGATTATAATCTCGTTAATGTAATGTTCATGGCATAAAACTGGCTTAGAAATTACTCTTCTTATTTTGCGATGACCACTAGACACGTCGTAACTTGCGACGTTTTTTAAGCCGTTGTCAAGGAACTTACAACGCATTCAACACATCGCAACTTTCGTGAAATGGAAGATGCGACGCGTCGCGAGTTGCGACGTGTTACACGTCGTAACTCGAGTTGCGATGCGTCGCAGCGCTTCGTGAAATCGGGTGCAGATCTGACTTGACCTAATATCCTTTTAAGCGTTACATACTTGTAGCTGACTCAGTTTTCAAATGACACATACTGCACGTCTTCTCTATTGTGACCTTGTTAAGTGCGAGTCTATCCATATTTTTAAATTCTTGTTCAGCACATAGCCGCAGCACACAACTACCGCAACACAGGGATGGCTATGCAAGCAGTGCGGGACGCTGGTTATCGGATAGCCCTAGGGGAGCTCCCCCAATCCATAGGACCAATGTCCTTTGTCTTCATGGGATCTGGAAACGTTTCACAGGTGAGTTTGTATAATAATGGGTCTTTTACGAAAATCCTTCTTTGAGGTTATTTAAGGGCCCATCCAGTGTATTTTGTATGAATGCAATCCTTGAGAAAAACCCACATTTTTGTCCCATTTAACCTTATTTTCAATTTTTGTTTTGCCATTTTTTCAGGGTACATGTATTTTGGTGTGTTTTTGGTTTTTATGCTAATGCAAATTTCCATTTTCGTGAGCAAAAATCGTTTCAGGCAGAAACCTCAATGTTAACCATTATTGCAACACCAAAAGTTGCTAGAATTTTGGATAATGTGCTTTTGTTAAGTTTCTTCACTGTGGTGATTCATTGTTTTTTTAAGTACATGGCAGTGAGGCAATGATCACACTTTTCTCACAGATGTTTTCAATGAGCAAATGCTTAGGTTCACAATTTGAACAGAAAATCCCAAAACTGAACAGTTTCTTCGTGAAATGGCATCACAGCGACATCGTCCTCAGTTGTCCAGAAACGAATTGGACATTTTAATTGTTTTAATCGTTAGAAGTGCACTTTTCAATAAAATTAACCAAAAAGGGATGTCAAATAGTCGTTGTACTGCTACATTGAAGAGGAGTAAAAAGTTGCACAAAATATGTTCCTTAAAAAAAAATCATGGAACCTTTAAGGTGTAATGCTGTTACTCTTGAGAGCTACTGAAGGACACATTACATACAAGCAGTGGTATGCAAGAGTGCCGACTGCCAATTTCCAACCAAAAGTCCACGAACCTTAAGTGAGATCTTGTGGGAGGAAAGCACCTACACTCTGGGTGCAAATTTAAAAAGATGATTAGGGTGTTATACTTTTCCTGCTCAAATTTGTTTCTTTCTTTAATTGCTTTATGCAATCATCACTTTTTTAAGCGTGTTTTTAAAGGGACACTAGGTCCTGGAACAGCCCAATTGGGCTACAAAACGCGCTTTGAACGAGATGATGATAATGGGAAATAACTTTTAAAAGTAGGATATAAACATCCACACAACTATCCTTTCAAAACTGGGCGTTTTTGTGTTATTCCTGTATTATGCGTGCGAGAACGAATTTCGGGGTCCACTTTTGTGACCCCATAAATTCGAGCTGTTTGGATGCTAGTTGTGATTTCATTCGTACGCGTAACGTGTTCGCCTTTTGCGGACGTTGAAGAAACCACAATTTTTTGCATTGGTGATTGGTCACTGCGCGCTGTTCCCAAGACACACAACGTGTATAGCGTACATGAGAAAGACACGAAAAACGTATTCGTACTCCGTCATGTCCAATGTAGGTAAACAAGCGGGGTTTTTTTTTCATCTTTTCTCGGGAACGGTAAGACATTAGGTTGGTTTCCTTTCAACCAGATGTTTGAAATAGGCTAAGTAAACAATCCAAAACATAACATTTTCGGGGATTTCAGGACCTAGTGCCCCTTTAATCATTTACAAATGTGTATGTGTAGCAGCTAATGAAAATTTACTTTTCGTGGTTGTGTGCAGTTCTATAGCACATTTGTCTTGTAATTTTGCCTTTTGTGTTTTGTTGGTGGGTTGGACACTTTGCTCGGCCCGTTATACTTTTTCTGTGCCACATGTGTATCGCAGCTTTGTCAGTGAGTTTCTATGGAATACCTAGTTTTGTGACACTGAAGTACATATACATTCGTCTAATTTGCAGATCACGCCCAATTGCATTGCAAAATTCGCGGTTGTGCAGTTCGTGGAAACACCCTGGGTTGTACCACTTGGTACTTGTTAAGCAATCTTTACTGAAACAGTGTTTACTGAAAATCAAATGATTGATTATTTTGTTCTATTTATTTTATCTGTTTGAAAGGGTGCACAAGAAGTAATTGCAGACCTTCCTGTCGAGTATGTTAAAGCACAAGACCTGAGGAATGCTGTGGAGAAAGGAGGTACAATGTTAGCTAAGGTGTACTTAATGTCATGTTATCTATCATCTTTCTTTTACTCTGGGGAAAATGCCCTCAAATACCGCCTGTGGACCATTATGCAAGTGGTCTAAGACTTAATTTGAATTTTTTTTCGGGCAAAAAGCCGGACAAGCTACACCATGGCGGTAGATAGTCTACGGAATATCCCCGTGCACGGCAAGGGTTTATGATATGCGAGTAGATTCGGCGATTAATTATGCAAAACCAAGACTATGTGTTGACATCCAGATTATGAATGATTCAGCGGGCGCCTTCTATCGGGTCTTCGTAACATGGCAGCCAAATTGACCAATCAACGGCTAAGTCCACATTTCTGATCGAAATATTGTCACAGTTTCCAAAGTTGACTCTGATTGGCTGGTGCATGGGGCCCCATAAAGTTTGCATGCTACCGGTAGGATATATCAGACGTTCATTTGTGTGGCTTTGCACATGTGAAAGGCTGATTCTCTGACTAGCTGGTAGGGGCACTGTCAACAAGATGCTTAAAGCTATAGTCCATCATTTGCAGCCATCCGAAAAGTAACTGGCGTAATTATTGTTGAAAAACAAACTTGGTTGAAAGATAGTAAGGGAACTAAACTCCCTGTGAAATTATTCTTTCTGGGAAGCTGTCATTTTGAAGTAATCAACGAAAGAAGGCCTTTCCAATGGTGTGTCTTAAGACGCACCGTAGGAAAATTTAAATTAGTAGTTCGTTTTGTTATTCGGCGAAGCGCGCGCAAGCATTGGCACGACGCACACGCGCGCGGTTGCTATAATTCGTCGGATCAGTGCGCGACGTCGCGTATAGCTGCAATTCAAAACAATTAAGAACATGATTCAGTGAATTTTAATTTGAAATTGAGATCCTAGAATGTTGTTTTTCTCGGAATATACAGCTGAAGCTGAGCTGAAACTTCATCAGGTTAGTTGTTCAGTATCCTTCATTAGATTTTGAACACTTTTGTTGCTTCAAACGAACAAAATGCACAAATTACAAATGATGGACTATATCTTTAAATGGGTCTCTGGAATTTTGGCACTCTGACCAGAGAAATTCTGAGTGTATGTTGCACACACTAGATTCAGACTATAGCCTGTGAGTGAAGTGTGTTCGGAGTTTCTTCGGTGTGAGTGCCAACATTCTTCAGACTGGATTTCATTGATATTGTTCATAGTGCCCTTTACCGCCATAGTAGCTTCACTGGCTGCATCAGATGAACGGAATCCAAATCCAGTTTGGGACTAAAACAGTGAAGCAAGATGCATTACCTTGTATGCATCCTTGCCCAAAGAGTGTTATTAATAATTGAGATCTTTGAAGGTAGTGGTCATTATAGTACACTTTTTAAATGAGTTAGTCTTGATAGAGGGGTACCTTTTCATGACCATAGATATCTTTGTGACTTCTTGACAAACTGATCGCCAAACGGAATATTTACACAATCATGCAAAGCATCGAACTCTATAAAAAGTTCCTACATTACCTTTGTGCTCACCCTTTTGCCATCTTGAGAGTAATTTAAATTGTCAGCAACCTTTGGTTCTTGTGTGCCAGTGAGTACATTCTTGCAAGCAGTAAAAGAGCTCTGATGCTTTGAAAACAGAAACACCACAAAAAAAAAAACCCATCAAATTTTGGAATTTTCACCTCACGCAATGATTGATATATAGGCCCCTATTATGAGCTGCCGAGAATTTATCCGAATATCAGCAGCAGGAGTCGGCAAGGTCGTGCTAAACTTCTATCTCATGCTAAATGCTATGTGTACATATACACCAACGAATTTTTGCAAGGCCTCTAGGCAAATCATATATCCAATATATTTGCACGTTATTTCATGTGTCGCAAACAAATCAGTCTCAGTTTTGTTTTTAACTTATTTTTCCAACAGACCACACGAAGGTCTATGCCACCGTAGTTCACAGGAAAGACCACATAGTTCGGAGAGGAGGAGGGGAATTTGACAGGGAGGAATACGACAGGAACCCAGAACTATATCGCTCCACATTCAGCGAGAAGGCAAGTGAAATATTTATGTACCCACACTGGTCAAGCACTCCCTGTCATTGATGTCATGTGGCAATACAAGCCAGGAACTCCCTAGGCCTTTTTGCTAGGAAGTAGCCTCAATCCTGCAAGATCCTCCAATTGGCCTCATGGAAAAATAGCATATAACCTCAATCCTGCAAATTCCTCCGCTGTTTCTTGAATGTGGTCCATGGAGGGGTGACCACTGCCTGAATCCTGCAAAATCCTCCGGTTATGACTGTCAATAGGCTGAGGCAGAGGCAGTGACATCCTGGAGCAGTGCGGACGATGTCAAGTATAACCAAGAACTAAATTTATGCACGGCTGAGCATAAACAACACAAGGTCGGGCCCAAGACATTGACACAGTGCGTATTCCGAAATCAGCAACGCACTTCTGCCATGTAACCTCAATCCTGCAAATTCCTCCAATTTGCAAAAAGGATTTTGGAGGATTCAGGGCGGTTAGGGTTTTAATGTTTCACATTGTAGCTAGAGTAAAAAGTATTCACAACACCTGCCAATGGTTGAATGCAAAGTAATCTTCATCTGACCACTCGCAAAGAATGTCTTTGGAATCTTGCATTGCAGTAGGGTGTGACTTAATATGCAAAATAATAGCGCATACGCACTCGTGGAAACAAAAAAGCTTATCTGAAAACTGTCAGTCAGGTGAGGTAACGTACATGTACACGTGCATTGCGTAGCCCTTGGAAACTGCAGCAGTACACAGAAATCAGACATGCTAATGCCACCATAAATCTGCTCGGAATTCCCCAATCAGAAATGCCAAATTCCCAAGATGTCCTTTACGGCTTGTACCGTAGATGTGTCTCCTGCCCGCTTACGGTGAATCGCTGCACAGTCCAATAACCCGTGCCCGCTGTAGCATCGCTGGGCCAAGGATGACTTGGAACCAATACTACTACCCAGCCTGCTGTACACTAGTCTTGTGGTTTTAGAAAAAAAACCAAAAAACTGCTACGGAGCCCTTTAGAAACAGATGTTTTAGGATCTTTGGAAGTTTACTTCAGCGTTGCACTGTGCCAGCTGGTTGTTCTTCAGGCACAGCCTACGTGTTGTGCAAAATTCAGAGTTTTTTGGCTGTGGTTACAGATTCAAGCTGCACTTTTTGTTACTAAGTCATCCCTGGTTTTTACCTCTAGATTGCCCCCTGGGCCTCCTGCATCATTAACGGCATCTTCTGGAACATCGGCCACCCCCGCTTCCTGACCAACATGGATACCAAGACGCTGCTGAGCCCCGAGATGAGCCCTGTGGCCCCTGAGGCGCCGGGTTGCCCGCGCCTGCCCCACCGCCTGCTGGCCATCTGTGACATCACCGCGGACCCCGGTGGTTCCATTGAGTTCATCGAAGAGTGCAGCAGCATTGAGAGCCCCTTTGACCTGTATGATGCTAACCATAAACATCAGCACTTCATGAGTCAGAGGTGAGATCAATTCCAATACTCCATATTGTTGAGCAAATAAGGTAGCTGTATTGATGCAATTTTTAAGTACAAACACCAGGAAAATCTTGTTAATTGAATCAGTTTAGTAACTTTACCTAAACCTCAAAATTAAAGATTGTATCAATGTTATTTTTGAGCTGTAGAAATGTGTACACTTTGGTTCACTTCTTTTTATACCCACAACATTGCGTTGCTTTAGTGCACTTATTTTGCTCATGAATAAATCTCTCTCAAAGGATGCAATCCTAGAAACTTATAACTGCGTGTTCAATGTCATCAGGTGCGTGTGTGCGCAATGTGCAAAATGTTCTAAACACGTGCCCAGGTTACTCAAAAATTTTTGCGCATGTTGCAATGGATATCTGTGTGCATAGCGACACGCTGCACAATGACTACGAGCTTGATGAAAAGTACTACCAGTATATCTGAAATGTGAATGTTGGAAGCTCTGCGTAAAGGCTGGTTCGTACTTGTTATTCATCCCGGCCGTAGCACGGTAAACGATATCCTCGCTAGCGCTATGCATGCGGTGCATTAAAAATACAGTGCGAACAGCAACCTCACGCGGCCACCATTTCTATGCAAATCAGTTGGACCCAATCTAGCGCCTTGGTTCAATTGTCGGCAAAAGCTTATGTTTTTCTTTATTTTGCGCTGGATTTCTAGCGCACGACCTCGTATGCGAATACAGATAAGTGTAGGCGGGGCTAATATGTGGAGTGTCCAATCACACCTTGGTAAATCCGGACGTCATCAAAGTATTTGCAGCTATTCGCCTTTTGCGGACGTGACAGGAACCACAGTTTTTGTGCATTGGTGCCGTGTGCAGAGACACACAACGTGTACATGTATGGATTATGTACGGTGCCATGTTTCACTATGCAAGTTTCCACGCAACGATCGACCAATAAGAAAACGACATTAAAGGTCAGCTAAGGCTATTAACATAATGAGCACCACCCCCAAAACCTCACATGGACGATTGAACCAAGGCGCTCGATTGGGTCCAACTGATTTGCATAAAAATAGTGGCCGCGTGAGGTCGCTGTTCGCGCTGTATTTTTAATGCACTGCATGCATAGACATATGACTGCATGCATAGCACTAGCGAAGATATCGTTTACCGCGCTACGGCCGGATGAATAACAACTAGCATGACTAGCGCCTTGACCAAGGCTAGTTCGTATTTACACAAAAGTGGACATCATGGCAAGTGTTTACACCACAAATTAGCAAAAGTTCATCACATCTTCAATCAAGCAAGTTTTGTAATAAAGTTTTGCTTCGAATGTTTCTTTTAAGTATGCTTCAATATGCATTACTCTTTGCATTCACATGAGTTATGAGCCTGTCCGAAGAGCTCTGTAGGCTCTTACAAGCATGGTCTCTCAAAGGAATGAACATTACAAAATTGAATGGATTCTGCATCCCGCGCATTGGAATTATTGACCTGTACCAGTTATAAAGATCAGCCAATCACACTGCTGATTCAAAACCACGTTACCACTAGAACCTTTGACAAAAGATAACATCAGAGCACATAGGAAAATGACATTCGTGTATTAAGTTCATCAACATCATCCGTTTTGTTGGCGTCCACTGAGACTGAAAGGAATTGCAGCTACTGATATTTTTTTCCTCCCATTTGTTTTTGGTCTGTTTCACCCTCAAATCATCATTCGCATCCATCTTCCTATGTAAATCTGGCAATCTGCAAGACCAAGGTTCGTACATGCCTGTTACACGGAATAGTTGATATCAACTGTGTTGTTTTTTCTTTGAGCTTTGGTCTGTTTCAGATGTTTAGTTCAAGAATTTGAGAGTCTAGCACAGCATGCAGAAAATGAACATTTTTGTTTTTAACTTTTCACTCATATAAAACATCTTTACACCCCGCTGACCAAACAAATTACATCGTTGTCCAATGCACCTTTGCGTTTTGCAAATCATTGTTTTCTGTCGAAACTTTGCTTTCGGTGGACTATTTCTTTTGTTCATGTGATTGTCTTTTAATCAAAATTTTAATCCTAACTCCTAGCATTTTTCTGGGAAACCTGATGAATCCTTCAAAATTCACTGTGAATTTGCAGTGAATTTTTTTTGATGGAAAGCAGCTTCATGTAAAGAATCAGTGACTGGGCTGTGTACCTTTCTCAGTCTCGGTCTCTAAAACTTGCAGGGTTTTAACGGCACTGGTGTTTTATTTGCCAATATTTTCTCAGATTCGAACCTGCCAACCGATCCCGTTAGCTCGGTGGTCGAGTGGTAAGACATCTGCACTAGAAAGCAGGAGGTCGTGGGTTCGAGTCCCACCCGAGTGATTTTTTCCAACTTTCACTCGGGAGGTAACACACTGAGTATACAGTGTTTAAGCGTCGGTGAAGGGCAAAACCTAATTTGATTTATATCACCCAGACGCAAAATTCCATCTTATAATATTTTCTCTTCCGTTGTACACGCACAATGTAGGAATTCCATGTTTTGTTGTTTAATGGCAAGAGATATCACAATTGTGCGTACCGGGTACCTGAAGAATATGTGGATTGTGAAGATATGGTACCCAGTTTCCAAACTCTCTTCTAAACAAGCAGCCCTAAAGATTCATTCAAATGTTGTACAACCTCGTTCATCTGTCACAGAAGAGTTGCTGTGTGATTTGGCCAAATGCAACTTTGCTTCACAAAATGCAGTGTTATTTAGCTTTTACGTATACATTTAGCTTGGATTTTTGACAAAGGAATTTATCAATTAACCCTAACAGAGCTCAACCCATCAAACCCCATCGGCATGTTTTGTTGGAATCTGTCAGGATGGGTACAGTACCCCTAACAGGGGTGTGAAATCTCAGCTTTAAAGCTGATTTCAGCTTCTTTTTTTTTTGGATGTCAGCTTTTTTGCCTTAGTTGCTGTGTACAAAAGTATAGGAGATTTCCAATGTTCAGCTTTTTTACACCTTTTTCAGCTGTTTTCGGCTATTTTTTATCAGTGGTCACTCACACCCCTGCCCTAAACTGACCGTCTTTTACACAGGGTTGGCACACCTCCAGAATCAAAGTCAGAAATATGTGTGTGCAGTTTCCCATATGGTGTTGGAATTTGCCAGGATGCATATGCTTCCTAGTAAATCATGCTACTGAGTTAGGGTTTAACAGTATTTGACATTCACAATACATTCTGAGTATGGAGGCTTGTTACCTCTGTGGTATGAGTACGGTGTATACATTATGACAAAAGCTGCCTCAGTAATGGCCGCCCATGCAGGGGTATATAGTCGTGTTCCCTAACGTGGCGCACTTCGAAGCTTACCCGACTTTCCTCGTGTAGTGTTGCCAAACCTCTTCGTTGACAAACCTCAAATTCATGCAGTAAAATACTGGTGCTTTTATCTTCTTAATACTTGCTATTAAACCTCTGTGAACAATTTCGGTTTCATAAAATTTAATCCGAAATTCAAAAACGGTGGCGTCCGGAAATTGGGCACAAAGTGGCGGAGTGTTCCCTAACGTGGCGCACTTAAATAAATCTCGGAAAATTCCAAATAAACATTTAAGAATTTCTGTAAACTTGATAAATTTTGATAAATATTTACTATCTCTAATTACAAACCCATCCAGATGTTTGTCAGAAAATTATTTTCTTATTTTTCGGGGCATTTTCAAAGGGTTCACTTTGCACTTGAAAATAAAATCGGAAAATCACACCAAAATGAATTTTTCTTCTAACTTTGTAATGGGTAAATAAACTCGCGATTTATGAACGGGAGTGTTTAGAACTTGATGAAATTTCGCTTTCTGTGAAATTTCAGTTAAAACTTTTGCTCTAGCTAGGCGCTACAGGCGAAAAATCAAAGTGCGCCACGTTGGGGGCTGCGCCATATTAGGGTACATCAACAATATTTGTCCCCAAACGGTTCCTTTTTAAGTGGAATTGTGTTTTGATTTTCTTGGATAGGTTTTCTGGTGATGGTGTTCTAGTGTGCTCCATTGATAACATGCCAGCTCAGTTACCAAGAGAAGCAACAGACTTTTTTGGCAACCTCCTTCAGCCGTTAGTGCCCGATATGGTAAGAACTAAGAACCGGCTTGAACTTGGTTGTACCGGCTAATACACTGGCTAGATTATGAATTTCAGCACTGTTAGTTTCAGAGTTTTCAATCAATTCAATTCAATTAACTTTATTTTCCACATAAAAAAAGACGATCAGAGTTAAATGTATACAAAATATGTGGATGGGGATCCCTAAAAAGCAATGCTTGTCGAGTAGAGATCCCCAGTTACAATCATACAAAAATATTACAAGTTACACACACAAACTAAACATAAGGACATAACACCAGACATGAATATTCGAATAACATGCAGCTGCAACCCCGTGAAAAAAAAATATTTAAAATATAATTTACTTGTTAACTTAGGGTGCATTTGAGAATAGTCTTTTTACATGTAACTCTAACCACCCCAACTCTTCAAAATCCAACTGCATATTTTGTTTGATTCTGTTGGAGTGAAAACTGCACTAGTAAACTGATTATGCTTTACATGGGGTCATCAGGCATGCCACCATAATCAGAGTCCAACAGTTTGGGTGTTGAGTTTACCATATGGTGTTGGATTTTGCAAGAGTGAGGAAGGTTCCTAGTAAATCACTGACGGGGTTAGGGTTAATGACTGAAATGACCTACAAAAGGTAGGTAATTTATCACAACAGGTATTCTGCCATTTCATGCAATTGTTTCACTTTTTTTTCCTGATCAGCTGAAGTCGGATGCTAAGAGGCCATTTGAAGAGGAGAATCTTTCTCGGATTGTTAAAGATGTGAGTATTCAAATGAAGATTCAAACATTTAAATACATTTTCATGTTACAAGCAGGTGTCATTCAGTGTGTGCATTGGATTCATTGTAAGCATGAACAGAATTCTAAAAATGTCATGAACTTGAATGTGAAACAACCACCCCTCTCAAAAAAAGGGGTTATGGTGGTTAAGACGAAGCACATTTGATGCTGTCTCATGCCATTTTTAACAGAGAAATTGACTGGGACTTGAGTGGAAGTTCAAATGTCCAGATTTTCAGTCCATTTCTTTGTTTAAAGGTAGAGTGTATCATTTGTGTATTTTTTTTCGTTTGAAGCAACAAAAGTGCTCAAAATCTAGAGAAGGGTGCGTAACAACTAACCAGATGAAATTCTAACTCAGTGAATGCTGCATATCCCGAGAAAACAATGTATGTATTCTAAGATCTCAATTTCAATTCAAAAGTTGCCATGCCAAGTCATGTTTTGAATTGCAAAATCAGCGGCTGGGACACGTTCTCATTCAGCCGATTGCAGCTACGAAATGCTACGCACTGAACCGATGAGTTACAGCAACCGCGCACATGTGGGTCGTGTCAACGCTTGCGTGCACACATTCATGGCTTCACCAAATAAAAAACGAACTACTAACAGAAATTTCAAAAGATGCGTCTTTAGACACATTTTTGGAAATGACCTTCTTTTATTGTTTTCTTCAAAATGACAGCATGCCAGAAAGAATAATTTCACAGGGAGTTTACTGACATTACTATCCAAATAAGCTTTTCAACTATTATTTTGTCACTAACTTTTTGGATAGCTGCTAATGATCTACTCTACCTTTAAAGGGAAAGTGCAACATTTGCAAACATCAAAAAATAAAACTACCAAATCATTTTGAAATACCTTGCTGGACTTTTAGTGAATGACAGTGTTAAGCATACTGTAAAATCATGGCACCTGGTATACTGTCATTTTCAAGAAAAGTGGTATTTTTGTATCAATTTCCAACGCTGATCGGCCGATCAGCGTTGGAAAAAACTGGCTTTTTTTTCAAATACTGGCCCCAGTTGACCATCGCACTTGTTTGCAATCGATTACACACCTATGGACGAGTACAAGCCAGCTAGACTTGTTCCCTGACCTTACAATTCCCCAATGTATGTGAACTGCTCTGTTTCTTCTTAAATGGAGTCAGGGAACCAGACTACAGGAAAAATGATTGTTTTTCTTGGTTTTTATAGCATTTTCGAACCCAAAACCTCAAAAAAGTCAGTGTAACTATATTTGCTATATATTTCCAACCCCCCAATTCCATCCATTTCTGAAAATTACATCAAAAGCAAATGATGTATATTCCCTTTAAACCAAGTATGCTTTTCAACAATAAATTTGTCAGTTACCATAGCTGCAAATGATATACTCTACCTTTAATATAATTCTGATTGCAAGTGCACTTTGTCGGCTGTATCCTTTCTTGGTAATCCCTGATTACTATAACAAAGGTTTGGGGGATTGTTCATGCGATTGCTCGTATTGTGGTTCCTGGCCATATGGCACAAATGGCTCTGGGTTTCAGACTTTCTCCCAGTGAACAAAGACAAAAGCAAATTTGGTGATCAGCAACATAATGCTGGGTAGCTCGGTTGGTTGAGCCACTGCTGCATTGTTCTGGTGATTGCAGGTTCGATTCCTATTTCAGGTCAATTTCTTAGTATGGCATATACCGTCACCGACACCACGAAGTAACACTCTACCGTGTTAAACCATATTTTTTTTCGATTTTCAGTTTTTTTGATTTTCAAACATTATTCATCGAGGCCTACCACTGCACAAAGTTTCAAAGCTTCAATAGCTTTACTTAAATAATTATGCTAAGTATCCATGGCAACTTTTGCGCAAAAGTGACAATTTTCGTTTTCACGAAGTAACACTCAAGTTCCATTTACCATTGCAATGCATGGCGCGCACTCTGCTCATAAGTGAGCAAAAACGTTTTCACGAAGTAACACTCTTCTTGTAATAAGTTGTATGAGCGCGCACGCGCCAACCTAAAGTTGCACTTTCCTAGTGTTGTAACCATTGAAGAGTGTTACTTCGTGAAAATGAAAATTTACAGTTTCGCAGCTTTTTCGGTTTCACGAACTAACACTCATCTTTTTTCTCTTATTTCTTGCTTATTTAATGCACAAACGGGTGAAAAACAGCAAATTTAATAAATTCAATTCATCAAGTGTCCACAACGAGAAACCCAACTGAAAATACTCTGTCGTTTTGACGCAAAGTGTTGTTTTAGAAGGCGTTCAACTTTAGATGTTGTCTCCGATTGCTAGTTTTTACCGGTATGTACAAATGCAGATGGGTGTTACTTCGTGGTGTCGGTGACGAAACATGTACACTGTTACTCAAGTACATGTACTGTAATACTCACACACAAGCACAGATTGTGAGTAACTGACACAAGAACACTTGAATTTCTTCCGTTTCTGCAGGCTGTCATAACGTCCAATGGCAGACTTACTCCTAAATTTGAATACATCCAGCACCTACGAGAAGTTACAATGCCGTAAGTAAAATAACAAAACTGTCCTTTTTATTTCACTTGAAATTAAATGTGAAAGATAAAACCGAAATTGCCATGTATTCACAGCAGGACTTCTGACAAAGTGGGTGTACAAATTGGCTGTGAATTGAAAAAAAAACAGGCATCCAACTTGCTGAAGTTTTAACAATTTTTCTTTAGACTAAACGCACAAACCAGAAGGGTTACTCAAAATACATGAACTTATACATTTGTATGCATGTTCAAAAGATGCTGAGACATCCCTGTGGATAATACCTTGTTGTCACAGTAATATCTTTTTTAAACAATTTGAGCTCTGTTTGTGTAAAGGGTAAGATACAGTAACTTATCTAAAAATTACTCCTCTCCTGAAAAGATATTAAATAAGATATGAGAAATCCATTTTGGACACGCCAAAGATCGCTTCTTGGTTGTTCAATTGTTAACTGAGGAAATTGTCTCCAGATCTGCAATATTTTGTGCATGCATGTAAATTGCAGTTCAAATAATGCTCCTTGCAATCCCGAAAGCTAGTAAAAACCATTTGGTTGTCATCAACCCTACATGTACAGCATCTCTGTCCACAGTCTGTTGTTTAATGTATCATACAATAATGGTGGGAGCAGAAAGAATGGTCTTCATCATCAAAAATGTAACCCTTGAGAGGAAGCTCTCTTTCACAGACTGTGTTAAAGACATACTGTACACACTTGTTTTTGGCATTTCAATGGAAGCATCTAGAGAAATTAACAAAAGCTGCGCATACATGATAAATATACAATAATCATAGCAGCTTTATGATGTGTTATTGCCTTGAAAAAAAAAATCCGAATGTTGAGAAACAGCAAGGCAAACCACAAGAATGGTCTGTATATCATCAGAACAGTCCAGTCCAAACTACAATATATTTTGCCCTCAACAGCACCTTATCTTCCAAATCAAGCGGTGAAAGAAAGTGGGGGAGGGAGGGAGTCAAATTTCTGGTTAACAAGGCAAGTAAGGTGCCTTGTTGGAACTTTTGGAACTTTTGACTTTGATAGATAAACATGTACATGTAATGACATATACATGTAATTACATGTACCATACTTTACACGTTGACTGCTGACTACAAATATACATTGTACTTGTAGTGACAGGCGTACCGGAGTTAGCCACTATGAGTACATGTATACTCGAAGTAAAGTAAAGGCTTTTGTATTGTAAACTGAATGTACTGGCATCTGAAAATGCGTGCATGTGAACATCGCATAGTAGGCACCCTACAAAAGTTTTGTCGGCAGTCAATGTGTTAAAGCCTTAGATGACTAGTCTAATGTATGTTAAGGAGAATACACGAGAAAGTGTGGATTCGTAATTTAAGAATTCACGAGGCGCGAAGCGCCGAGTGAATTCGTAAATTAAGAATCCACACTTGCGAGTGTATTCTTCGACTTAAACCATTGCGTCAACAGCAGTATCGGAAAGAATGTTGCAACCTGACGCCACTTTTTCCTTCATATATCATCTCAATTAAGGTCATTCGTTGCAAAAATGCTGATAAGACATGAATCTCGAACTGAGAAATGTTTCAAATTTTGTTAGGAAATACTTGAAATGACTCTCCATAGACTTCGTACACAAGCGCGGAAGTGGCGTCAGGTTGCAACATTTGTCCCTGGCATGATTAGCATGTGTATCGCCACACCCGTACAACCAAGCCATTTTGTGTGTATAGGCTCCTTACGACAAAATGGATAGTTCAGACATCAGACGACGATTTCTTTCTGATTTAAAGTAATTTTTGCAGTGACGGCGGCGAATGTGACAGTGAAGATGCATTGGTAATTTTCGGAAAACAAATTTTCACGCAGACGGTCCTATTCAGGCTCATTATGGGAAACAATTGTCCGACATGTTCAAAGTGTGGATTGTATGATAAGACAGTACTAGTAGTACATGTACATTACACTTTATGAAAGATTCTTCGTTCCGAATCCACACTTTGTGACCAGTGTAAGAGATTCGTAGATCCGAATCCACACTTTTAACAATAGTGTGACGTCATAGCAATGGTTTAAGTGGTCATAGAAAGCACAAGGCCAGTGTTTAAACCACTGGACTTAGTCCAGTGGCAGAGGGATTTTTCAGGCTCTGCCCCTGGTGGGTAATTTTTCTGCATGTTCAGGGCAGGTACTGTACCGGTATGTACGTATACTTTTCAGTAATGGAGATTCTTTATGTGTTTATTTTCTTGCATCTCTCAATATATAGGCACGAGCAAGCGTCACATCAGTAAGTGCAGATAGTCTACCAAAAACCATTGTGCATCTGAACAAAAGTCTCATAAATTGTTTCAGACACTGACATACATGTATATCATTATACCATCACACGTACAGTAACGTTGCAGAAAAGTTCCAACATGAAATGTCAAACATGTTTTTTAGTCATCATTCCAAACTCAAAACATTGTCTTTTATCTAATGAGAACACTATTCGTATTTTTATTCACAACAAAGATCAATAGAATATGGAGCCACAGTACTAGTAGTACATGTACATTACATTTAAGTGTGAACACTTTTTCACAAACGTTTTGGTCAGCATCACAACTAGCCCCATAAATGTGGCCTATTTACTGGAGTGCCTCCATAAACATAGGCCACACATCCACATGTACAAAAATGTGTCGCACTTTGCCAAATTTTGATTTTCACATTTAGGCTTAGTTTGTAGGTTTTTTTTTGCTTTAGAAGCATACTCACCCTCTTTATAGGCTAATCAGAAAGTGCTGCCTTTTTCAGATGTCCATTTTTCGTGAAATTTCCAGATACATTTGCACACGTTTGCGTATCAAAATTTCAACATGAAATTTCACAAAAATTAGACATCTGAAAAAGGCAGCACTTTCTGATTAGCCTCTAAAGAGGGTGAGAATGCTTCTAAAGCCAAAAAACCCTACAAAGTAAGCCTGAATGTGAAAATCAAAATTTTGCAAAGTGCGACACGTTTTTGTACATGTGGATGTGTGGCCTATGTTTACGGAGGCAGTCCAGTAAATAGGCCACATTTATGGGGCTACATCACAACATGCTAAATTATCGTTATATATCAACCCTGTAGATGTGCATGTTTCTTCCCTGGATTTTTCAAAAGCAACTTGATAATTTTTTGTTTTACTTACTATGATCTTTAAAAAGAAATGGTTAATTGAAGGGTTTGTTTTCTGTAAAATAACCCATTTTATTTATAGAACCCAGTTAACACTTCAATGTTTTACAATGTAAATACAACATTACAGCATCATGGCTATGCAGCAGGGAGCCGGACGTATACAGACAAAATTCAACATGCCTATTTTAAATTCCTCTTTTAACCAGAATTGTAGGACTCGAGTCTGTTTCGAGTCACAATTTCGGTGATTCGGAATCAACTCTAGGTCACCTTGACAAAAGACTTGAAAATTCTGACTTGATTCGGACTTCATGACACTGAGGACGCATGACTCGTGAGCTAGTACAGTCGACTCTCGTTAGTACAAACTCTGTTAATACAAAATTCTGGTTATAACAAAATAAAGCCTTGGTCCCGACTGTGCATTTATATGCACAATGAATGGGACTGATGTTCCTCTATATAACAAACAATTTGGCTGGGTCCGAACGAGTTTGTTATAACGAGACTCGACTGTACATACATGTACTGCTCTTCATATCAATGGTGGTGTAAAGAAAAAAGTTCCTGATTACTGTCCTGGTGGCTGATCTCTGGGAAACTACATGCATGCGTTAATCCGTTCAATTGAAGCATGTAGGGCTGCGCATTGGAAATGGGTACCCGAGTACCTGACCGTTAATGTTAGAAACCGGTTCCAGATTATGGAATCAAGGAACCTGTAACCAACTTAGTAAGTTACTTCTCAGTCAATGAGAAAGAAATGTTTGAATGCCAGTGGAAAAATTTCAAAATGAAAAACACGATACATGGAAAACCAAGACCAATTTCACGTTTTATGATGCTTACGGAAGTTGCAGCTTTCGCCACATAGATAAAGAGCTCACTGTATATACCCTATGAGCTCCGTGCGCTACCAAAAGAGGGCGCCCTTTTACCTAACAACGACGTCCCATGGGCGGGACATTTCGCTGGTTGACGCGCACCGTTCCTTGTTTGTGACGCACGTACACCAGGGAATTTGTACTATTTACACGCAGTGGCCGCGCTTCGCGGCAAATGAATTGCAGTCAGGCAAGATGGCGTCGGTCGGTCACCCCCAACTGTACTTCCTTTGCCGGTGAGGGGGTGCTTGTGAACGGAGCGGATCTAAGCGTATTGTCGCACCGATGTCACCGATTATCATGCAGACCTTTATGAACAATCTGAACAGCAACTTCCCAGATTACAATTTTTGGCTTGGGTTTCTTTAACGGGTACCCGGGTACCCATATTTTTTTCCAGTAGGGTACCCAGTTCCTGTACTACCCGTAAATGCACACCCCAAAAGCATGTGACTTAAATTTGTCACTTGTATTCGGTTTTGAACGAAGTGACTTGTGTTTAGACTCGACTCGTAGCCAGACTCAACCTTATTTGACTCCAGATTGGAACTCAGACTATCGTGACTCAACTTTAACCCTGCATTTAACTCTTAACACCTCAAGCATTTTGCTAGAAACTATCCTCAGTACTTCAAATGGTAAAGTATAAAGTGGTTGGGCGCATACCTTCCTCATTCCAAAGAAATCCCCAAAATTCTGAGTGGATTTTTAAAGACCTACATGTCGGGATACATTTTATACCACAATATGTTTACAGATAGGTATACAGATGATGTCAAATCTCCATTTCCTGAGAATTACAGTGACCAACTTTGTGTGAAGTAAATTTGTATCATCAAATTTCAGATTTTCATCTCCCACATTGTACATGTACAGTTTGACAGCTGTTCCCACACTTTAATCACAGTCAGTCACTAGTCATCCAGTCTCACGTCAACAAGCTAAACTGTGACAAATACATTCTAGGACATCCCCAAGTACATCCCCTGTTAGTTGTGACCACGGAGCTACATGTACATACATGTACATGCATTATCTCCATGCTGTGACCTTACTTGTGATATGACATATGACTTGTGATTTGATACTTGGGATTGCTTAGACGTTTTCTGCCAGCTGATCACCCTACTTCCCTCTAGATTTATCTAACGTAGTTCAGGTTTGTACATGTAGTGGTCCCATCGGTCATCATTAACCTCCAACATTTACTTTTTGTTATTGCCTATAGATGCACTTGAGTAACCATATAAGGTTTACCTTAATAAGTGAGAATACCCACTGCACAGCAAATTGCGTAGCTTCCTTTATGCACATGTAGCCTACATAATTCCCATGTTGCAGTCTGAATTCTTGATCTCCAAGCCGTAACCCCTGCCACCTTGACCATTGGGGTACACTGCACAGCTTTTGCTGTCTTTGATTGATTTGCTGGCGCATGCTGCTAGCCGTTCCCCCCGAATAATTTGTAGCGTTTAGAGGTGCTCCACTACTGAATCAGGGCTAGCCTGGTACCTACATGGGCCCAATTTCATAGAGCTGCTTAAGCAGAAAAATTTGCTTAAGCTCGAAAAAACATTGCTTAGTAAAATTAGGTTACCGGCCAAAACTCCATGTGATGTACATTGCTTGTGACTGGTATTTAGCTGTTGTTTACTTAGCATAACAATCGCATGGAGTTTTGGCCGGTAACCTGATTTTATTAAGCAAGACGTTTTTGTGCTTAAGCAAATTCTGTGCTTAAGCAGCTCTATGAAATTGGCCCCAGCCCTGTACTAATGTTTAGCTTGTCTGCTGGTTTATTGTTTGCTTTAATGCTTCCACTAATTGTCCTTTTTTTAAGTTGTGTAGGTTTTGTTTTCCCTATTAGTGCTGTTAAAATGATTGTAATGTTTTACCTGCAGGTCGTCTGTGTTGTCTAAGGTACCGGTACATATCTTTAGTTTTTATCTGTTCCATGTGTGTTTTACATGTACATGTTTATTTATTTAGTTAGTTTTGTTTAGATCCATTCAAGCAAAAAGCAAAAAAGACAGCTCTTTTGCTGAAATCTAATTGCATAAGCATGAACTTAATACTTGATACCTTTGTACGTAGTACGCATGCATACCACCCGGCATATTTTAGACCCGAGTTCATCAAGGGCTGCCAGGCATTGCACATTTACCCTGACTCTAGTGGCAATGAGTGTGACCCCTAAGGCCAAAAAAAAAATACTCGGTCTCTGGTCAGCGCGCGCGTCGATTTTAAATAATCATGCGCATCGACCTTTTTTTTCCCTTCAAATTAACACGGAAGCTACAACAGTGCCCTCTATTGCCGTTCCTCCTCAAATTTTTGTACCAAGGAGCACCAAGGAATGGGGAAATTGCACCAAGGCAAATGATAAAGGGCACCAAGGCAAATTATGGAGGACACCAATGTATAATAAGGAAAATAGTACCCATCTTGTCTGTACAATACAAGCTTGAAAAAAAAAAAGCCACCAAAAAAAAAAAAAAAAAAAAAAAAAACTCGTCGCCGCATCAATTCAGGAACTTTGGTCTGACCAGAGACCGACTATTTTTTTTTTTGGCCTTAGGCTAATTTTTGCAACCATGGACCAGTAACAAATTTATGATGTCAAAGATCTGGATGACCAAGAACATGTCCATGCGGGTGCTAGATAATGCCAAACCGAAGAACATAACAGGTGAAGGAAGATACTTCTTTTCTGACCATCCATGGTGGGGTATGATAGTAAACTCTTTCCTGTTGTGATAAAATTGTTACAAAAGTAAGAGTATATAGGGAAATATTAAGGCGAGCAGATGACACTGTGTTCCATCCTATCAAATGGCATTTTCGCCAAACACAAGAAAACTCCGCCACAGGTCTCACCAATACTCATCCCTCTTTCCATATTCTTGAAAAGATAATATACAGCTACCAAAGTTTCTTTCATTGCTGTATACAAAATCTAAGAAAAACATGATTCCTTAGTTTTTCAGACTTCAAAATACTGTCATGCTTATATGAACTCAGCCGTCTTGAATGTGACGAACCGCGGCCCCAAACTTCGGCTCTCATTAGGCCAGAACAGTGATGTCATTCAGGCACAACACAAGTCATGAAAATGCTCAACCTGTGACCAAAACCAAAACATGTTTCTGTTTAGAGTCGCAAAAACACACCCCTATGATAAGCCTGCTGTCAGGATTTAAAACATTGAAGAGCCCATTCTTACTACTACATGTACGTTCTTTCAGCTCCTCCTGTTCAAGTAACAATTCAATCCTCATTTCAAGTCACTTTGATTGTCATGGTGAAGGAAATTTCTCAACCCCCCCCCCCCATATTGTAGCAGTCATCTTTAAATTAATGAAAATGCTGAGATTAATAGCATTTTTCATGAAATCAATGTACAATTACATGTAAATCACAATTTTAGTGTCACTTTTTTTCTGATTTTCAAATTATTGTGTATCTTATATACTCATAAGAGTTTACATAAATTGATGCATTTCAATCCATATCTCCAATCCAATCATAATCACGCAAATGTTCACCACATGATCACTTTGATTCCAGTATTTATAGTAAGTTTTAAATGTTTATCTTTGAAAATTTAAATACAATTTGAAACTATTTTACTGCATTAAAACATTTCGAAACGAAACGTAATTTGTGCACAAGTCAAACAATGCACAGTTGTATACAATCCATTTCATTTTCCTAAACAAATTCTGAAAAAAGAAGACAATTAAAGAATTAAAGTAATTTTTGATGATATTTGCAAAATAGAAGTAAATGGAATCATGTACACTATTAACTTGTTTTTATGTCCACATGTAACAAAACCAAAACAAAACAAAGAAGGAAAAAAAAAGAATACATAAATTTGAAAAAAGACACTGGGTGCTTGTTACAACTGATAATGTAGTAACCAACTGATAATGTAGTAACCAACTGATAATGTATCAACAACCGATAATGTCACACAAATTGACCGATACTGTATCACTAACCGATAATGTAACAGAAATTGACCGATAGTGTAGTAAATGTTACTACACTATCGGTCAATATTTGTTACATTATCGGTTAAGACCGATAATGTACCAACAATCGACTGATAGTGTAGTACATTTTTACCACACTATCGGTCAATTTCTGTTACATTATCGGTTAGTGATACAGTATCGGTCAATTTGTGTGACATTATCGGTTGGTGATACATTATCCGTTGGTTACTACATTATCAGTTGTAACAGTGCTGCTTAAATATTTTTACCTGTGATATATATATCTACAAAAAAGGGAAGAAAAGCTTTGGTATTAGGGTATACATGTACATGTAAGTGTAGTTACATACTGCATTCCTGTTGATATCAATTGATTATGTTAATTTTTCTCCCTCCACAGAGTTATTCCTTCCTCTTTCGGATCGGAGAAACAGAGAGTTTTGTTGTTAGGCTCAGGTCACATGGCCACACCCATTGTAGAGTACCTGACCAAGAATGGCAGTGTTGCTGTAACAATAGGTATGGTCACATGGTGCAATAGCAACAACATGCATCCCTCCATTAACCCGCTTATTTGTAGGGATACATGTCTAAATCTGCTCTTTGATTCTAGATCACTCAAATAGGCAGTTTGAATCCGGTCACAGTAAAGGTAGAAATATCTTTAGCAGCTATCCAAAAAGTAACGGATGTAATTATTGCTGGAAAAGCTTATTTGGTTAAAAGAAAGTAATGGCAATAAACTCCCTGTGAAATTATTCTTTCTGGCATGCGCTGTCATTTCCAAGAAAACAAAAGGAGGCAATTTCCAAAGATGTGTAAAGTGACGCATTTTTGACGCATTAAAAAAAACACCTGGATTTTCTTTCAACGTTGGCTCCCTAACTGCCCCTAAAGCTACAAAATACTACTGAGTAGTAACCTGTAGTATGCATTTCTTTCCATACAAGTGTGCACAACACATGTAGTATTCTGTGGTATTTGGTCCTCGACCCCCAAAGAACCTTTGGGGGTTAGGGTTAAGCATAGTATTCACTCTTTATCTGCATTGTTGATTGGCAAGAACCATTATTACAAAGTTTAATGCAAAAGGCTTTTCCATTGACCACAGCATCTGCCGACAAAACAGAAGCCGATGCCCTGGCCGCAAAGTACGACAGCACCAACTCTCTGTACATGAACATAGCGAGGCACACAGACCAGATGGACAAGGCCATCCAAGAGCATGATATAGTCATCAGGTGAATAAGCCCAATCAATTAAATCACTACAGAGGCAAATGTCATGGAACAACGTCTAAGCACACGCAAAAATGCTGTTATTAAAAGTCCAGGCTGTATGATGCAGTAAAGGGGCACTACATGTAGGTCCTGAAATCCCCGACAATTTCATGTTTTGGATTGTTTACTTATCCTATTTCAAGCATCTGGTTGAAAGGAAACCAACCTAATGTCTAACCGTTCCCGAGAAAAGACGAAAAAAACCCGCTTGTTTACATCGGACACGACGGAGTACGAATACGTTTTTTGTGTCGTTCTCAATGTACGATATACACGTTGTGTGTCTCGGGAACAGCAGTGACCAATCACCAATGCAAAAAAAGTGGTTTCTTCAACGTCCGCAAAAGGCGAACACTTTACGAATGAAATCACAACTAGCATCCAAACAGCTTGAATTTATGGGGTCGCAAAAGCGGACCCCGAAATTTGTTCTCGCACGCATAATACAGGAATAACACAAAAACGCCAAGTTTTGAAAGGATGGTTGTGTGGATGTTTATATCCTACTTTTAAATGTTATTTCCGATTAACATCATCTCGTTCAGAGCGCGTTTTGTAGCCCAATTGGGCTGTTCCAGGACCCAGTGTCCCTATAAAAAAAAAGTTAACCAACTTTGATCTTTCAAAAAGTTGATTTGAGCAATGAAAGGAAATGGCATTCTGGCTGCCATTATTTTCTGAAAGTTCTATTTGACATCAGCTTTTAATTGAAATCCTCCTGTGCATCACACTGCCAACCTCAATGAATGATCAACAAACATGATCATATGCATGTGTGTCTAGGTGGATCCCAATCAGAGTTGTAGTCAAGTACTTTCCGAGTTCTTTGTTTACTACCAAATATTGAGCTGTTCATGAACAGAGGGATAGAAACATTGACAGAAAAATATAGTTGGGTCTTTGGATACATTAAAGGGGACGAATATGTGCTCACAGGAATGGAGTGCCCATCCCTCTTTCGAAGCGATTGGGCCGGACTTGAGTCCATGAAATGCTGCTGTTGGGGGATTACCAAACCTCCACAGTGAGTCTGTTACCTTCCCAGCATTGAATAATGCTGGTACCCATTTAACACCTGGGTTGAGAGGAGTAATTGAGGTAAAGCGCCTTACTCAAGGGCACAACACGCATGGCCACAGCGGGGCTGAAACCCACAATCTCATGATCATAAATCCTGCACCCTACCGCTAGACCACACGTGGCCAGTGTTTGCATTATGCAGTTTCATCCATACCAAACCATCTTAATATCTGGTAGCAAACCTGGTACTCGGACAATACTCGACTACAACTCTGATCCCAATGTCTCAGTTTAGGACATCATATACCCAGGGACTCAGTCGGTCAGAGAACAGAATGCTGGCCGTTTACCTCCAGCAACAATTTTGAATAAAAGAAAATACATCAGTAAACACTAAAGTCCAAATGACACAAACGACATTGTAAAAAGAATTTACCTTTACAGAATATACACACCGACCCACTACAGGTGTACAGTTATTGTGGTTATAGTTATTGCAGTATATGTCAGTGATAGAACAAATAGTGGCCAAGTTTCATTGCTTCATATGTCCTTACAATGCACAGTATGCTGCCATTCAAATTCCATCCGGCAGTAGCTGAGAAGTGTGTGGCACACAAGAAGAATATGGTGACTGCCAGCTACGCGGGACCAGAGATGAGGGCACTTCAGCAGGGGTGAGTCTGGGTGCCAACTCAGTATCTTTGGGTTCTTATTGGAAAACGTTTCTTCATGTCTTGCTTGTCTGGAGGATAGTTAGCAAAATCAGGCGTTGGTGGGAGATATCGGAGATTTCAAAATCATGTTCTACTTTTTTTTTTCTCGAACCGAATTACAGTTATCTGATTTTGCCAGAAGTTCCCATCCAGCTCACAGTCATGCCAACAAAGTGATGAGTGAGGTGCCGCATGCAATGCCCTCCACGATGATTGGATACAGTTCCCAAAATGGGGGTGGGGGGACTCTCTGATTAGTCAAATTGGCAGTTTATTTATTAAGGCCCTGTCACACTGTCTGCGATCTTATATGCGCTCTCACTGCGTCCTTAAAAAAATGGCTGGGGCGCAACAACAACTACTAGATCGCAGCGAGAACTATGTAGGTCGCCAGATGGGCGCCAGAGGGTCCTAATGGTCTTCGATGAGCGCCAAGGTCTTTGAACATGCTCAAAACAATCGCAACACCTCTGCGCTCTGGCCAGGGCGCCGTAATGACGCAACTCGGGCGCTGTGCGAGTGTGAATCGTGCGACATTAAAGTGGCATTGAGGCAGCCTATAGGCGCAACGCAGTTGATGTAGTCTTCATGAGCAAGTTACTTGACTGCGATGAACTTGTAGAATGATTTTAAAACTGGAGTGTGTATTGACCATTTTGTCGTGGTATTTATACAGCGCAAGTGACGTCACATGAGCGTATTTTGGTCGAATAGAGAGCGCGACGCGAGCTACTAGGATGTATCAACAGCGAGCAGAGCGTAATGTGAGCGCAGTTACAGCGCAGCGGCAGCGATTAGATCGAGTAATTGAGCTTGACAGGGCGAGTTGAGCGCATCGTAAGCGCAGGAAGAGCACAGTATGAGCGTAGCTTGAGCTTCTTTGAGACAGAAAATTGTAATTTTTTTGCGTCCTCGCTGTGATTGTTAAATTTATGAAATATTTTTGGTCGCCGTAAGGTCTCCTATGAGAGTGCATATAATGTGACAGGCCCTTAAGACAAAACTACCACTAAGTAGTGAATGCTGTTACAACCAAGGACAGTGGAGCAATTTGGGGATGTTCCAGTTGTTCTCTTGAGCTTGCGTCACAAAAAAAGAAGCCTTTTTGTTTTTTAAGGTTGGTTTTTAATATCCAGTTTTAAAAATCCAAACTGATTTTTGGAATTAAAACTGAATATTATAAAATCCGGATTTGAATCCCGCCACAAAATTAAACATGTCAAAATGGGTCAAGCTTTTGTTTCAGGAACATCAAATCTCGTTATAATTATGAGGGCAGGGCTTGTATTTAGAAAACCTCTATGTAAGGCCAAAAAAAAAAATATGTCGGTCTCTGGTCAGCGCGCGCATCGATTTTAATCATGCGCGTCGGTCTTTTTTTTCCCAAAATGTTCCGCGGTAGCTCCAACAGCGCCCTCTATTTCCGCACCTCCTCAATTTTTTTTTACCAAAGAGCACCAAGGAATGGGAAATTGCACCAAGGCAAATGATCGAAAGCACCAAGGCATATTATGGAGGACACCAATGTACATGAGGACACCAAAAAAGCAAAATTGATTTTTTTTTTCCCCTTATGGCTACAAGCACTTTGCTAAGCTCTCTGAAAGTCAAAGAGGGACGTTATATGAAGGTACGGGTATGTGGCCTTCTCGCAGGAGCTCCAGTTTGTTGGAGACATACTGTGGTTGCCCAGGTTTGTGTATATAGATAGAGTAAACGCAACTAGTTTTCATGGGAATGTGCAAAAGTCTAAGCATCAAATGTTGGTGGACTTCTTTTCATGTACAGTGCATTGGATGCTGGAGTCACATTATTCAATGAGATTGGCTTGGACCCAGGCATTGACCACATGCTAGCCATGGAATGCTTCCACAACATCAAGGCAGAAGGAGGCAAGGTAAGACTTGTTGGAGGTTGCTCTCTGTGGGAATATGCAACCTTTTAGCGTAAAGTCAGATATCTTAAAGCTATAGTCCATCATTTGCAGCCATCCGAAAAGTAACTGGCGTAATTATTGTTGAAAAGCAAACTTGGTTGACAGATAGTAAGGGAACTAAACTCCCTGTGAAATTATTCTTTCTGGGAAGCTGTCATTTTGAAGTAATCAACGAAAGAAGGCCTTTCCAACGGTGCGTCTTAAGACGCACCGTAGGAAAATTTAAATTAGTAGTTCGTTTTGTTATTCGGCGAAGGGCGCGCAAGCATTGGCACCACGTGCGCGCGCGCGGTTGCTATAATTCGTCGGATCAGTGCGCGACGTCGCGTATAGCTGCAATTCAAAACAATTCAAAACATGATTCAGTAACTTTTGATTTGAAATTGAGATCCTAGAATGCTGTTTTTCTTGGAATATACAGCTGAAGCTTAGCTGAAACTTCATCAGGTTAGTTGTTCAGTATCCCTCATTAGATTTTGAACACTTTTGTTGCTTCAAATGAACAAAATGCACAAATTACAAATGATGGACTATATCTTTAAGAATTGATATTGTGTGTAAAGACATTCCTTACTTTCGACTTGTAAAGTACCACTGCTTAGTATGAGTTTAAGGCTTTGTGATACAGCATATATGTATAATACATGTATGTACAACAAATAGAAGTTTGCAGGCATAACCCATTTCAACTCAATGTACAAGGTGTTTAGCTCATTTATGATAAAAAAAAACTTATTGCATTTCATCTTCAAATTATTTGATTTCTAGATCCGGTTCTTTGATTCATGGTGTGGTGGCCTACCGGCTCCTGAACACTCTGAAAATCCACTTCGGTATAAATTCAAGTAAGTTTACTTGTAGAAATCTCTCAGTAGTGCTTGTTGTTTTGTGGGGGGGGGGGGGGTTACAGGTATATAGTTTGTTCCTTGCTAAATTGTAGGCATCCGGCATCCTGTTTTTTTTGTTATTGGAAGTTGTCCATTACCAGGCTGATAGTCATATATAAAGGCTAAGAATGAAAGTGCGGGACAGAAACAATAAACTTAGAAATATGCTTGACGTTGGTCATCATAACGTCACTTCAATTTTCACCTACAGTATAACTCGGTCTTGGTACATACCAAATAACAACCAAATCAAACCTATTCTACAGATATAGTCCTTACAAAAATGCACCTTTACTATGACGTCACATGACTGGTGATGACATCATCATGCCGTCACATCAATATTCACCTATCACACATCCCGGTGTAGGTACATACAAAGTTATAACCAAAATCGAATAGTTCTATAGATATATGGCCTTAAAAAACGTGACACATGACGACGTCATCGCGATAAAAAATCTTTGGGGACCATCTGCAGCTGGTGGTCTAGCTACGTGGTGCCAAGTCTGAAGTTGATGAGATTACGAAAGTGCCAAAGTGTATTGCAGTGTTGTAGTCCAGACCATCACAAGACCAGACACAAGACCATTCACAAGACCAGCCACAAGTAACATGGCACGAACAAAAGACAAAGGAATGCCTTTGTCAAAGCTCATTTGAATAGCTTTTGACTTGAACTGAGACTGGAGGTCTTGTGATGGTCTTGCAGGGTCTCGACTACAACACTGGTGTATTGGTGGAAGAAAAATGTGTACTAACCCTTTAAGTAGTATGAAAAAGTACGAAAAGAAAAAGGGGGGGGGGGGGAAGCTGTTTCGGCGGATTCGCCGAAACAGCTAATTAACAGCAAAGGAGGGATTCACTTGAACGGAAGGAGAGAATTAATATTTCTCTTTATGGAGATCAGACCCTAGCATGAAGGACAGCAAGCCTAACATTTAACAATCTCACCCTTCCCAATTCAGTTGGAGTGCATCTGCCTCCGTCGGGGCCATCATGCGAGACGCCAAGTACCTCAAGAACGGAGAGGAGGTCTACATCCCGCCTGGTATGCTGATGGAGGAGAGCAACGTCCAAGAGATCAACTTCCTGCCGGGTTTCAACCTGGAGGGTTACTTCAACCGTGACTCCACCAGTTATATCTTTGCCTACGGAATCCCCACAGCGCACACAGTCACGAGGGGAACTCTCAGATACAAGGTAAGGAGTGTGCTGTCAGCGGAAGTGATTACCAAAAAGTTTACTTACAACTTCACGCCCATTATTGTCTTTTTAATTTTTTTCTTTACTGTTATCGCCAAATGGCAATTGACCTGTCGACGTTTGCGAGTTGGCCACGCCCCTTAGACAACCCTATGGAATTTATGTATGCTAACTTTTGTTTGTCTCAGATGTTGCGCGTTCCGCTTCCATTTGTATATCATGTAATTGGACGTTGACGCGATTCTAACGCGATTCTACTGCAATACGTCAATTCCAAGAGCCACTCAAGGTTTAATATTGATGACATTTTTCATTTTTCTTAGGGCTTCTGCAAGGCTGTTACCAGCCTTTCCAAGCTAGGACTTGTAGATGATAAGCCACATCCGGCATTAGATGACAGTGCACCAGACATCACTTGGGTAAGTCTCAAAACCCTTCCTAAATCTCTGAAAAAAGATAGCTGTACCGACTTTTCCAATAAGCACATTGAAGTGGACTATTGAGGAGTTCGAAGAAGCAAGGGTTTCTTTTGTCACAAGCTCTCAGGCAGCATCAGTGGTCATTAGGCCAAGGAAGGTCAAAACCGAATATTGAAATAGGCTGAAGTTGGATTTTCTTAACCCTTTCCTTACCATGGGCGACTTTTGTCGACAAGAAGAACCCCCTGCTGGTTCCCATGGGTGACTTTAGTCGACAAGGAAACCACACACAGAACACCCTCAACACAGATATATTCACAACTTTTCAGAAAGGCGGCATGTTGATATGTTTGGCCGCCCATACATCAACCATATACCAGCTGAAAGAATGTTTTCGGATCGTTCTAATGGTGTAGTTTATTCATAGTGTTGCCATTACATAAATATGAGAAAAGTGCTTCAGAAGTATCCACTCACAAATTGAGGTATGGAGTGCCATTCGGTCATGTGGTGAAATGGTTTGCAGTTTGATAAATGGAACCAGATGAACAAACAGGCATAACTTTCTTATATTTACACATATGGACTTCATTTTTACATCACATACAAGAGTAAGGTTCGAGGAACAAACTTTACACACAACACCTATGATTTAAATCACTCCTTGGCAGTGAAAATCTTGGTTGAAAAAAGTGAGTTTTGGACTTGTGGTCATTTTGTTCACGCTCTAGTGATTTCCGCATGACTGAGCAAACAATTTGGTCCTGGGGAGAGCCAAGTCAATAAACCATGTGGTAATGAAAGGGTTAAAGATTGTGTTCCTGGTACTTCTGGCTTTAATATTCAAAGTATTGACATACCCAATAATAATAGTAATTGTGCTTATAAAGCGCTTTACAATTATTACCCTGTTCATCAGGCCATGGGACCTTGATCAGCACCGATATCAGCGCCTAATCGTTACCCATTTATACTCCTGGGTGGAGAGAGGCAATTGTAGTTAAGTGTCTTGCCCAAGAGCACAAACACCATGTTCCTGGCAGGCTTCAAACCCATGCACCTTCCTACATGAGTCAAACACCGTAACCACTGGACCATAGCGTTCTAATAAGGGATGTTAACCTTTTCCATGGTGCAACACAGGTTGATCACGATTTGCATTGCCAAAGACAGCTTTTCTGTGTTGTGGATCACTCAAATTTACGCACTGAAGTGCATTTTCCCTTTTGTCTGTGCTTGAGTATTCATGATCTGTATTTACAGGAAGATCTTACTCTTTGTTTTTTGTTTTCATTTCAGCATGAGCTCATGTGCAAAGTGCTTGGGTGTGACACACAGACTAGCTCCAGTCGTCTGGAGAGCATTGTGTATGAAAAACTGGGGCAGGACGAGGAGAAACTCAATGCAGTCCTACAGTAAGTAGGGGTGTGCATTTACGGGTAGTACGGGAACCGGCTACCGGATTGGGAAAAAAAACACGGGTACCCTTTAAAGAAACCCGACTCCAAAATTCAAATCTTGGAAGTTGCTGTTCAGACTATTCTTAAAGAGGTTGTGGAATGCTCGAAGACATTTCCGTCATTTTTTGGGTATATGTAGCCTAAGGTGTGATGAAATAAAAACGACTATTGTTTCTGTCATGAAATGAGTACAAAGGGTACTTTTGAGAGCTATTTTTCAGGACCTGTTTCGACCCGAACGTGCAATTTGTGTAAAAGTCGTCGTTGCGGGCAGCAAACAAAACACAGTAAATCGTGACGTAATAAACAGGACTCATTTATGCTACTCTGCATCGGGAGTCCTGTTCATTATGTCACGATTTACTGTGTTTTGTTTGCTGCCCGCAACAACGACTTTTACACAAATTGCACGTTCGGGTCGATACAGGCATGACAGGACTCAAAAGTACCTTTTGTACTCATTTTATGAAAGAAACAATAGTCGTTTTTATTTCATCACACCTTAGGCTACATATACCCGAAAAATTACGGAAATGTCTTCGAGCATTCCACAACCTCTTTAAAGGTTGGCATACAAATTCTAACACATCGATGCGTCACTACAGCGAGATACAAGTGTGTACAGTGCGCTTTGTAGCTTTATTTATGGTGTAAAGTGCAACTTTTGTGAGTGTCATAAATGTGCAAAAATGGTTTGTTTTCCCATGTAGCCTGGCTTTCATTTTGAAAATCTACCCACTTCATTGTCCGAGAAGTTACTTAGTAATTCATAAAGTTTGTTACGGGTACCCGATCATATAATCTGGAACCAGTTCCTGACATTAACAGTCGGGTACTCGGGTACCCGGCTTTGATGAACAGACTTAAAAGTAAGAACCAAGTTCGTTACTGTCAGTAATTTCAGCAAGTTGTTTTTGAGGGCTTTTGTAGTTGAGTTTGGTCAACTAGTGGTGCATTCTTGAAAGTAACTGATGCCTGTGATCTTATAGCAATAGTGAACATCTATAGAAAAAACAATTCCATCTTATAATAGTTTATGCGGTACCCACTGCTGTGTGCATCAGATTCGAACCGGCCAACCGATCCCGTTAGCTCGGTGGTCGAGTGGTAAGACATCTGCACTAGAAAGCAGGAGGTTGTGGGTTCGAATCCCACCCGAGTGATTTTTTCCAACTTTCACTCGGGAGGTTACACACCGAGTATACAGTGTTTAAACGTCGGTGAAGGGCAAAACCTAATTTGATCTATAGTCAAGTAATGATCAAAACGTCATCAGCGTCTTAGTCCTGGCTCACTGCTGTGCATTATGGTGGAAGTACCGGTAGCTATTGTAACCAGCAGTGTGACTGATTTGGGTACGCTGGTCCTGAATAATTATCTAGACTGCCCAACTATGGTCAACGAGCACAGGTTTGAGGAAAGATACATTTAGTCAAACTATGGTCAACTAAAATCTCACTAAAACTTGTTGCTACATTGTAAGCTACAGAGCACCCTCAGCAGACAGACACAGAGCAAGTGTATGAGAATTCTCTATTTTTGTTTCAGATTGGGATTGTTATCAGAGGCAGTAGTCAACAGGCAGAATACCCTGTTGGAAACCTTGTCTGCATACCTCAGTCACGTACAAGGCTACCGTGAGTGTTTAATTACCTGTTTATTGTCGCATTACAGCAGAACTGTGATATTTCTGATGTAAACTAATAATTTGGTATAGTGGTTGATGATCGCCAAACAGTGGTTAAAGGGAATATACAACATTTGCAAACATCGAAAAATAAAACTACCAAGTTTTTACGAAATACTTTACTAGGATGTTGGTGAATGAGAGTATGAAGCATCCTGTAAAATTATGGCACCTGGTGTGAAGTCATTTTCAAGAAAATGGTATTTTTGTATACATTTCCAACGATGGTCGGCCGACCACCGTTGGAAAAACCTAACTATTTTTCAACTACTGATCCAAATTGACCATTTTTTTTCAGTCCAAATTTAGTTTGCTATTGGTTACACGTTCATGAACGGGTACAGGCAGGCTAGACAGGTTCCCTATACCTTACAATTTTCCGGCATCTATAAATATTGATTTGTTTCATCTTTAGGGCAGTCAGGGAACCAGACTGCTTGAAAATTTTTGTTTTTCTTGGTTTTTCCGGCATTTTCGAACACAAAACTTCAAACATGTTAGTGTAACAATATTTAATCTATTATACTAAACCCTCAAATAGTTCATTTCTGAAAATTACAACAAAAGCCAATGATGTACATTCCCTTTAACTGAGGGGGATATTCGCTACGGACTCCTTGCAGGAATATTAGATGGCATATGAGCTGCATGTGCCGATCACACTTCATAATTATGTGCAAAGGTTTACGGGCATATGGCACAAATTGGCAGGACATGTTTTTGTTGTGAATGTGGACAAACCGATAGTGCCTCAGCATTTGATCTTGGCATATGTGGCAAACGGGCGATTCCCAGTGCAGTGCGCCACCAAGAGGTTGCCAAGGAGCATTCCTTTTTCAAGTTTATGGTCGCCAAAAACATGGCTTACTTGACGAGATTTTGAACATCAGTAGACAACTTGAGGAAATTTTTGATAGAGGCAAAGCATTTTTCTGCCTCACAAAAAAAACATATTTTGATAAAAATTTTTAAAAAAGGAAAAAAATACTCCAGTCATACGCTTACGAACCTTCTGACCGGACAAGCTAAACAATTTTGAGCGTCCCCACACCATGGCAAATTTGCCGACTGTCTCCCACAATGCACTGCCAAAAATTGATTCTCCGTGGTAATCTGTTGGTGGCGCACTCTATTGGGAATCACCCGTATTAACTGAAGGATCTGCTTAACTCTCTCTTTGTTGCCATTAATAAGGTACTAGTACACAGAGTCCATATTTAGATGTTAAGACATAGTTTCATAATCACAGAGTTAAAGAGGTTGTGGAATGCTCGAAGACATTTCCGTCATTTTTTGGGTATATGTAGCCTAAGGTGTGATGAAATAAAAACGACTATTGTTTCTGTCATGAAATGAGCACAAAGGGTACTTTTGAGAGCTATTTTTCAGGTCCTGTTTCGACCCGAATGTGCAATTTGTGTAAAAGTCGTCATTGCGGGCAGCAAACAAAACACAGTAAATCGTGACGTAATAAACAGGACTCGTTCATGCTACTCTGCATCGGAAGTCCTGTTTATAACGTCACGATTTACTGTGTTTTGTTTGCTGCCCGCAACGACGACGTTTACACAAATTGCACATTCGGGTTGAAACAGGCATGACAGGACTTGAAAAACAGCTCTCAAAAGTACCTTTTGTACTCATTTTATGACAGAAACAATAGTCGTTTTTTATTTCATCACACCTTAGGCTACATATACTCGAAAAATGATGGAAATGTCTTCGAGCATTCCACAACCTCTTTAAAACTTACCTGTTTTTCTTGTCACACAGAAAACGGTGAGCGTGACCTGGTGATCATGAAGCACCGCATTGGAGTGGAGTGGCCCGACAAGATGACCAGCACAGAGGAGGTCAGCATGACAGTCTATGGCGATGCCTATGGGCACTCCGCCATGGCCAAGATGGTCGGGTACCCAACAGCTATTGCTGCCAAAATGATCATGGACGGTGAGTCATCTGTGGAACCAAACCATACATTTTTATAAAATTAGGTTGTCTTGTCCTGAGAAAAATTAGGGTAAAGAACAAATCCCTTTTCCAGGATAAGGCCCCCAAAAAAGTATCCGGTTTCTGGTATGGAGCTTGCCCAAAAAGAGGTGCGGCGACACGGCTTTTTTTGTTTTTATACCTGATTTTTTTGCTTCAAATGTCGGCTGATGACTGCATATTATTATTATTTTGGTTTATTCCTATAAAAACACGAGGTAGGCAGCCACAAAAGAGTCGCTGATATAACCACGTTTACACTTTACAGGAATTAAAAGTTGTTAAATAGCAGTTAAAAGGAGTAGAAGCATAAAATTACAACAAAGTATAGGATCATGTATACAGCACAAAACAGCACAATATTAAAAAAACTGATTTATAAACTTTTTAATAAAATTCAAAATTGAAGACAGATCATTGAGGGAAGAATGATGGTGCCCGACTAAACTTAGTGCAAATATATGGGAGTCCAGAGAGGCCACATAAAGCTTATTCTCGACCATAACCCCATCTAAAAACACGTTAAAATTGTGCAGCAGCAGGATTCCAGTTACACCAGTGAGTTTGGCGATTTTGAGACATCATCTTTCATTGGAAAAAAAACTTTTTCATTTTGCCGACGCGCATGGCTACGGCGACGCGCGCATACCAGAAACCGGAGGCTTTTTTTTTTTGGCCTAAGTACATTCCTGGTTATTTTTTTGACGAGGTGTATCCTTTTTGCATTTACAGGTGAGATTTTGCAGAAAGGCGTAATCCTCCCGTTCTCCAAGGACATCTATCACTTGATTCTGAACCGGCTCAAGGCGGAGGACATCAGGGCTGCCTCGCGCACCATCCATCATTGACATCCCCATGGCAGGAACTAGCAAGAAGGTGTTGGTTAAAATCACAATAGGGATTGTTAAATAATGATGCGGGCATGGGGGACATATGTGACCGGCTCTACAAAAAAAGGTATTAAGTCGCCCTTAGCATTATTGTGTAATGGCCTGCTCAACATTGAGAGGGTGAAAATTTTGTCAAAATGTGATTTTCATTTTATGTCATGACTGACATCTTTAATACCTACAGTTTCAGGTTACTTTCACAGAAATGTTGATATTGATGAACAAAGTGGAAAAACAACCATTTTGTGTGCATCATTCTAATGTTCTACAACAAAGCCAGCTATTTCAAAGCCTGTTTTCTCAGTTGTGCAATTTGAACTCCAAGGAAGTAATTAATATGCAAATTATACATCATATCTCCAGAACAGGAGGGGCTATGGAGCTCTAGTATATACCAAATAAAAGCTAATGCTGTGGGCTTTCCAACCATGTATATAACTCCATTTCAGTTTTTTGCAACATAATACCCTTTTTTGTGGAGCCGGTCACATATGCAGCTGCCTGTTAAATCACCGTTTTGTGTTGTTATTTTGTACTAGGTACACACAGTTGTGAATTTCTATCTGCCCGAGGACAATGCTTTGTGTTTCCCTTTGTCCCTGTAATATAACACTCCCTCATAGACTAAGCACATTACCGTACGATCGAGGACCGTTTTCAACATCAGACCCATGCTTCAGGACTGAAAGGATCTTTTGTGTTTTCTCCTCTATCGTAAAGCCATACATGTACACTATCCTCATTGTGCATCTCGCATCAAATTGTTTCCAAGTCACACAGGTATTCTGCACATCATTTAAAGCCCGAGTCCATCATTTGCAGCTATCCAAAAAAGTAACTGGCGTAATTATTGTTGAAAAACATACTGGTTGAAAGATAGTAAGGGGACTAAACTCCCTGTGAAATTATTCTTTCTGGCAAGCTCTCATTTTGAAGAAATCAACGAAAGAAGGCATTTCCAACGGTGCTTCTTAAGAAGCACCGTAGGAAAATTTAAATTGGTTGTTTTTTTTGTTATTCGGCGCAGCGCGCACAAGTATTGGAACGACGCACACGCGCGCGCGGTTGTTATAATTCGTCGGATCAGTGCGCTACGTCGCGTATAGCTGCAATTCAAAACAATTCAAAATGTGATTCAGTAACTTTTGATTTGAAATTGAGATCTTAGAATGCTGTTTTTCTCGGAATGTACAGCTGAAGCTTAGCTGAAACTTCATCAAGTAAGTTGTTCAGTATCCTTCATTAGATTTTGAACACTTTTGTTGCTTCAAACGAACAAAATGCACTGATTACAAATGATGGACTATAGCTTCAATAGTCCCCAATATCTATGGACTGTATGCAGCCTGTGGATGAACAATACATGGGGTTTCATGACTACTGCTGAATACTAAATGTGTGAAAACCAGTAGTGTCATTGCATGGACGTCTCGGTCTGGCATACAGGTGAAAAGCCAGAGTTCCACAGATTACTTGCTCTTTGTAACCATTGATGAGGCGGTACTTGTACATAAAGTCAATGGCCAAGATCTTAAATAACATGATGGAAGATGCTCGGGCATTATTGTTCTCCAAATAAGAGCTACTATGCAATAACGGATATACCATAGTTATCCAAGAGGATGTGGCTTTAATCAATGAGAATGCAAAATTGTAATTTGTTCTTGCGATGTAGACAAAACTAAACAGAAATCAAATATGAGTAGACTCGGAAGGAAGAGTATATTTTCATTCAAAGGTTTGCTTTTCTGTTGATCGATTTTTGCATTCTTTTCTCAATACTTGCATTCTGAACAAGGGACAAGTGTTATTTTTGTATTAAATATAAATACAAAAAGAAATAAATATCAGATAAAAAAATTAGATATAAAAAAAGAAAAAAAAAAGCAATCATCCTGTTTATTCAGATTGTTTTTTTCTTCTTTGAAACGGCCTTAATTGTCCCTAAACACCTGATATGCAAGAAAGAGCCACATTTAAGTTACATTATCAATGATGTCATTCAACAGAGGGAGCTATTTTCACTAAGATAATTTGTCAGGTATGCCCGAAACTTCTGACATTTATACAAATTTACTTGACCCTGTGATAAAAAAAACAACCGTGTGTAATAAGTCTGGTACACTATGAATGTTTCCTGACCTGAGCCTTTTTATACATGTAGTTCTAGCTTAAAGGGAAAATTCAACATTTGCAAACATCAAAAAATTAAACTACCAAATCATTTTGAAATACCTTGCTGGACTGTTAGTGAATGACAGTGTAAAGCATCCTGTAAAATCATGGCACCTGGTATACTGTCATTTTCAAGAAAAGTGGTATTTTTGTTTCAATTTCCAACGCTGGTCGGCCGACCAGCGTTGGAAAAAACTGGCTTTTTTTTTTTTTTTTTTTTCAAATACTGGCCCCAACTGACCATCGCACTTGTTTGCAATCGATTACACACCTATGAACGGGTACAAGCCAGCTAGACTGGTTCCCTGACCTTACAATTTCCAAATGTATGTAAACTGCTCTGTTTCTTCTTATATGGAGTCAGGGAACCAGACTACAGGAAAATGATTGTTTCTCTTGGTTTTTATAGCATTTTCGAACCCAAAACCTCAATAAAAACCAGTGTAACTATATTTGCTTTATATTTCCAACCCCCCAATTCCATCCATTTCTGTAAATTACAGCAAAAGCAAATGATGTATATTCCCTTTAAGCCCACAGCTTGAAGCATTTGTACTTTTTATTTTATTTGAGAGTGTGTAGATGGCTGACAGGGTTACATATGTTTGGTCTAAAGATTACCTACACAGCACCATTAGGTGGATTTGCATTAATCATCATGTGCCTCCGATTTATTCCTTGGAATAGCTTGCCTTTGATACAAAATCACTTGCAATCTGTCCAAATTATCACCATGCTTATTTTCTGGCTAGTAGCGTTATAAACCACAATGCTGGTGGTTTATGTCAAAATGGTCCAGATTTCACATATGAAATATGTATATCAGTTTGAACCTTATTAGGCCAAAAAAAAAAATAAGTCGGTCTCTGGTCAGCGCGCGCGTCGATTTTAATCATGCGCTTCGATCTTTTTTTTCTCCAAAATGTTCCGCGGTAGCTCCAACAGCGCCCTCTATTTTCGCACCTCCTCAATTTTTTTTTACCAAAGAGCACCAAGGAATGGGAAATTGCACCAAGGCAAATGATTGAAAGCACCAAATTATGGAGGACACCAATGTACATGAGGACACCAAAAAAGCAAAATAGTACCCCACCTTGTCTGTACAATCCAAGCTTGAAGAAAAAAAAAAGAAGCCGCGTGGCCGCATCAATTCCGGAACTTTGGTCTGACCAGAGACCAATTTTTTTTTTTTTGGCCTTATATGTGTCTTATTGAAATATATCTTGCAACTGAAAAATATATTAATGGGTAAACAAAAATAGCAATTTGTCTGAGTACACCTGACACCATGGTGTTTCGAGCCGATTTGTACTAAATCAAAATAAATGGATGAATTGCATTTTTAAATCATTGAAGTGACTGATACCTTTTATCAGAATTAAAATCCACTTTATGATTGTAAATGTACACTGTGATATGTCCAAATTCTATGTCCGACACTGTGGAACTGTCCCAGTTGAAAAAACAAATGAACTATTTTTAAACCAACACATGAATTGTAAATTGTGGACATTAAAACCAAATGTTTACACATCAAAATGGCAGATGAATCAAAACAAGTGCGAGTGCACAATAAGCTCTGGCAATCTTGCATGAAAGTCTTGCATGAAATCTATCAAACTGATCACTGCCAGAAAAAAATGCCCAAAAAATGCGACGCCGATGGCACATAAGGAACACCATACTTTAGATGCATGACTAGATTTATAGTGATTCGTGATAAATACCACGTGACTATAACATTACTGCACATATTTTGCCATGTACAAACTTTTCATAAACATGCATCTTTCCCAATTGTTACAAACAATTTTTTGTGTGAAGTATTAAATATATTTTGTTTGCTTTTGTTCAAATTAAAATTTGGTAGTTATATTTTGTGGGAAACTCATGGGGCCTTCATTTGGTCCATTTTAAGAAAAGGTTGCAGTTTTCAAGTACAATGTAGTTCTTAATCGGCTATCGTAACATACCTGACACTTGTTTACGCGGGGATAAATTGACCACGGCCACATAATGTATACAGATTTAGCACTGCACAGGACCGAAATCCCTTGCCTTTCACATCTTTGTTTTCTTCTGCTGAAATATGAATTATCTATTTTATGAGCCGCTACTTATAAGTTGCACTACAAGCTTATGTCAAAATGATAATTACTTCAGTGCAGCTGTTCCAAGCGTTTGTCTCAAATGCACAAGTTAGTTAATTTTCACTGTTGTTAACAAATAATAGAATTATAGTCTAGTATTGTTGGGCAAAAGTATAATGCCTCATGTCAACAATAAAAAAACAAATACTTTAATTAAGCCTGCTAAAAGCGTTCGCCATTATTCAGTTTTTTTTAAATTACAATTATATCATTGCTATTTTTCCCTTTGATGCACCAGAGCTATTATTTTTGAATTTAAGTGATATTTTTCTAGTATTCCCGAAAAAAAGATGTTGATTACGAAAGTATTAAGTATGATAACAGCTGGCTCTCAATATAAATACATTTTCATTGTGCATATGGTCATATTTTGTTGTAACGCCATTCTATTAAACCAATTGAAATGTACCATTTGTACAGTTAGACATTACATAGCTGTACATGTATATACATGTACATGATATTGTATGATTACTGACGAACTTTAATCATGGTTCAATCTTATAAATCTGCTAAGCATAACATTTATCACCAGGTAATCAGTTTTTGCCGAGCAAATATTTTCTGCATTGTTGTGTTTTTAGCAACTGTATTAAATTGGATCCAAGCTGATAGTTTTATGTCATTCTGTCTTCGTCTTCGCAATGTTCATAATGAAGACACTGATTAGGAACACCATGGTGTACATGATTTTGATTTCGCTCAAGAGTACTTATTACACGGATGAATCACATTATTTCTTTTGTCAGAAGTTAATTGATTGGTTAACTGAAATATTTGATGTAATGACGATCATGATACATGATATAAATTGCCTTTCACGCGAAGTTGTGACTGAAAACATTAGTTTCT